TTTTTTCTTTTTGCTTATGTGGTGCTGAGGAATCGAACCCAGGGCCTCAGGCATGCAAGGCAAGCGCTCTACCACTGAGCCACCTTCCCAGCCCCCTGCCCAAGATTCTATAAAGGTATTTTCATGTATTATTACATTATGTATTATTTTTTGTGTAGTATTAAAGCATCAAATTATTAAATTATGGAATAAGTAGTGAAATCTCTTCCTTCCAGGATATAACATCATGAAAAATTTCCAGTATAATACATGTAGATGCAAAAATGCAGTTCCAAATTACTCAAATAATTTCTTAATCTCTACCTTTACCATCTGTGTATAGACAACACTTAGTATGAAGCCTTCAACAGTCAATATTCTTCTTCCATACATCTAAAACTCTTGACTTGAAGAGTCAAGACACTACATACCCTTCCAGCTTTTTACCCTCTCAATACTATACACTGCCTTGGCCCATTCTAGTTTACCTTGTCCTTGCATTTCCTTAATGTCCCTTCATACTCTTCTACTCCTAACTTGGCTCATATTTCAGTTCTCAACCACTTCCAGAATGCTGTCCCTCGCTGTGTTAGTTATCAAGTTAAAGCATTAACTCAACTAAAATATATATCCCTTATTGCCTTCACTGCTTTAAAAATATGGATCTGGGTCTTCAAAACATTTTTCTTTAGCCAGCTGATTCAGCATTCTAATGGGCCAGGGGAGTGGAGTGAGCTAGAGATGCTTTAGTGGGGAAGTTTCTGGCAGGTTTCATTTGTTTGTGGTACTGTGGATTGAACAAAGAGCCTTGTACATTGAAGGCACAGCACTCTGCCACTTGAGCTATGTCCCAACTCTTCCATTTCTCACAAGTGTGACTCTTACCCACCTTCTAATAGCCTGTGAAAATTTCCTAGTGCATTGGTTTCCATATATAGAGAATTTTCTTTCCAAAGGATATATGGTAGTATTTGGAACTGTTAATGTTTTATTACATTTGTAATATGATGGAAAGACTACTGTAGATCAATATCCTACACTGGACTAGAGAGCCTCCATCAGACCACCTTTTCTACTTCACCACCCCCAGGACAAATAATTTATCCAGCACTAAATGCCAATTACACCAAGGCTGAAAAACATGGCTCTAGTACAGATGCCTAAAGGACATACAGCTTTCACCAGCATTTGGTTGATTGTTGTATACTCTTCCTTCCTATCCCTTTTTTCCCCTTCTACCCCCACTCAGGTAGCAGCAATGTCAACATTATACCCAGGAGCCTCAGACCGGGTGGCTACTTTCATTTCCTCTCTTCAGCTCCCATGCAAATCCTTCTAGAGAGCCATTTGATCTTTGTCTCACACAGCAGCCTACAACTGGCCTTGTCTCAACCTATTCAAAAATACTCATCTAGGATGCTAAACAAAGTTCAGCAATACTTGGTATGCTCCAAATCTCCCTGTAATTACCTTTCAGTTTAATTCACCTGAGCCCCAAGGCCTTTCCCAAACAGACAGCATGCACTCCAGGCTCAAATGTACATTATTAGCCTGACTTGACTCTACACGCTTTCCCATCAATCTAGTCTCACTTGAGGTCACAGCTTTGGCACAGGTAATCCAGAACATTTGTTTGCCTTGTCCTAGGCAACAGCCACATCTACAATGTGACCTGATTGCGCCTACTTTCTTTCTGTATTGTGAAAATACCGTACAGAGGAGTTACAATTACATGGGCAAGATAATGAGTACATTTCTTATCAAGCATTGTAGCCTCCTCCTTTGTTTCCCCTTCACATCCTCCCCCTGC